TGTCAAATTTATATGAGCTGCAGTTTTTCCTAAAGCCCAAAAGGCAAAAGAGCATATGAAAATAACTCAATATGCTAGTTAAGTCCACTAAGAGGGTTGAAAATTAAAATCTACTCACTTTGAAAATCAAGAATAAGACAGAACTTAAGCTTCTGTATTACATCATCCAAAAATTAAGAAAGCATTAATGAATGCAACCTTTAAATTCAAATTTTTAATACATAACTGAAGGATTTATATTTCCAAAGCTTTTCTCCTTTAATAATATTCCAATGCTGAAACATCAGAGTGTCATAATTTTCTCCCATTTCTCCTTGAAGACATGGGATATCAAAGCTTAGCACTAAGAAACAGTGTTTAACCCACTGTCCCAAGTGCATTAACTGCAAGTTTTACTTTCTCCTCAGTGCCCTGTGACAGTATGACTTTGACAAACTAATCTGATGAAAGTGAGTTTCTATGAGCTACTAAAGCCCATAAAGTACAAAAGCACATATATCTGCACTTCCAATTTCAATGCAAGCCAAGCCCATTCTTAAATTTTAGGATGTCCCAAAGTGCTTTGCTGAATTGGGACACAAACCAGCCCAAATCTAAAATGAAGTTACTTCCTTCCCAAAGATTCTTTCACCATTATCCTCTTTCATCATTCCATATTTCTCCTGTTGTCTGTGTACCAGATAAACAGGAATTGTTATACTTCCTATTTTAAAATACACATTTTACGTGGGAGGGGTGTGTGTGTTCCTTAAAAAACCTTGATCCTCTCATGATTCTTCTCCTTTTATCCCTCTCCAAAAGGACTTTAGTTCCCCCACCATCTGGTCTAAAAAGCAGATTTAGGAGGGTTCTCATCTCTGAGCAGACAAGTCCTGCTCTCTGAAAATGTCACCTCAACTTTTTACACTGAAGAAATACATCCCAGGGTTACCCACCAATGACACCAGTGAAACCCTCAAGAGCAGAGATGTCACCATTCCAGCTCTGATTTGAATGGCTTCAAATTACTTCACACACACACACATATATATATATACACACACAGAGAGCCTGATAATTCTTTACATGACAAACTTCTAAAAAAACAATAAACATTATAAACCTAAAAGCAAGCTAGGTTGTTATATTTGCAATAAAATCTTGACCTTCTCCACCTTTTAATCCTAAAGTAGTTATCCTGCAGACTGTCTTAAACTCTTCACTATCTTCAACAAGAAACAAACAGACCAAACACTGATAAAACCCAGCTATGCTGTTGGGAACAAAAGAAATGGAATCCATCCTGCAAAGGCAGCATTTCCACTGACATAAATGGGAGACAGAGCTGCTGGGCAATAGAACCTGCAGAATTACAGATACATCCCAGAAACCAACTTCTTATATATCCTGAATGCTGTCTGATGTTGCATATGCACACATGTGTTTATATGCATACACAAATCGACACCTTTTAAAATATATGAGCATAGTGTTTGAACTTTTAACATAATATGTACTTTAAAATAAGCACATAAACAAAAAACTCTACAATTCAGCTTAGTCACTGACAGATGAGAGGGACACATTTCTTTTATTGAACTAACATTTGGCTACAGATCCAGCTCCCAGATTTCAGTTGCATGGGCAAAAAATGATGAATTATGTTGCTCTCAACATTTTCTCCCAGACAGAAACCTTATTTTAGATTTCTGTATTGTTCTTCCAGTGCAGCTGAGGAGTCACAACAAAGTCACTCTCTGATCTCAGAAAAGAGCTGTGTATTCTTTCCATGTGGGGTATCCAATGTTTCAAAGGAAAGCAAAGGGGATCATGCAGTCAAGTCAGCACTCAGTGGAAAGGTAACTGATTAAATTTCTGACTCACTTAGACAATCACTGAATTCACCTCCTCAGTGGAAGAACAGAACCATTTCTATTTTGCTATGCCCTCTACTGGGACAATACTCTTGGAAAAACATTCTTAATTAGATCTTTACTTGGTTACTACAATCTGCCCAGTGCAGTGGAGATTTTAGGGATGCTGCAATATTCAAAGAAATTAGAATAACAAATCCAGTAAATAACAATTATTACTTAACCACTAGTCTGAAATTTAGACACCAACATAGCACCAACAAAGGTTCAGAACCTAAATGTAAAACTTTATCTTAAATGAAAAAAATTAAGCTGTATTTCTATCCAAGAACACACAGGGAACCCTTTGCCACTAAGTGTTATGTTTGTGTGGAGCTTCTCTTCATGAGCTTCCCATAACTGGGCACACTCCAGGCCTGGAGACAAGCCTGTCCTCTGGGCATTCCTGATGGGAAGCAGGAGTCACAAAGACTCCAACTGAGATAATGGAAGCGTGAGTTCAAAAGATCCAAAGCCCCTGAAGGTTTGCTAAAGAGCAAAAATCTACTTTGGGCAAGAAAGATCATAGTTTGAGATTACAAATCTTGGTATATACAGATACATATAAAATACTGAGTAAATCACAACCCAGGTTGGTACATGGGGAGCACTTTTCAAATGACAAAACTGAACAGTTCAAGTGTTAAAAATACTCCTGAAATTTGTGAGTTTTAAATAAAATGATCTGCAGTTTAAAAAAGAAGTACAAAATATATGATGAGTGTATGATATTTCTCTTATACACACAATGCAAAGAGAACAAATATATTTCTTGGTTTTGCTCAAACAGAGCATCAATAAACTGGAGTAAGAACACTTATTCTTGCTGGGATTATTCATAAAGATTTTGACAACTATTTCCTACCAGCACTAAAATATCTTTAGTAGAAGATATACAGCATGGGGACCAGTATATATGAAAATTAATAAATGGAATCTTGCAAGTATTATTATATTTTCCTTGGGTAAATATCTGCTCTAACGTGGTTCAAAGCAGCATTTATAAACCAAATTATTTTCTTCACTGCTTTATGTTGCTTCTAACTCACTAAATTCAAATGTTAAACTAATACACAGAAAATGAGGTTACCAACCTGAAAGGCAAACACACACTTCTTTGTAACTGAAAGAAGGTTACTTGTCCAAAGCAGTATTCTTTCCTCTTCTTGGTTGATTTTCAACTCATTGGTTTTCTGTATATTAAATTTATGTTTCCTAAAGCATTAGAGCTAGTTTCTAATCCTATATACATAATTGGTTGAAAGATCATGAACGTGAACTTTGAAGATAAATTGTCCCAACTGAAGGCAAACAAATGAAAGGCAAGAATACATTTAAAACATCATCATTAGAATGAATATAATATATTCTCAAAATATTGGTTTATAATTGTTAAATATTTTCAAATTCCACTGTATATATGTAATAATACTTGATTTTCTGACTTTTTACAACCCTCATTCAGCTGAAATTCTGCTTTCCTTTTGTATTTTCCCAACATCAAACTTTTCTAACTAATATGTTATTTGGGCATCTAATAACACTGAGGATTTGTTAAGGATATGAAAACCCTAGATTGACATAAGAGATGCTTTTGTTAGCAGAATTCAGCTACTGACACTGCTCTTCAGGCACTGATCCAAGATTGTAATGATTAATCTAGGAAGGGGAAGACAGCTCCAATTCTATCAGAAACAGAATAACTGATATCAGAGAGACAAAACACCTACTGCAATCAAAGTGCAGATCTAAAAGGGAACTTGTGCTTTGGTAGCCACTGAAGTTAAAAAGGCAGCACGAAAAAAGCAGTATTGGCAATATCTCTGCTAATGTTTGTTGCCAAACATTTGCATGTGTAACATCCTGCACAGACACCCCCACTTGAATGAATTCATTTTACACTGAACTTTTAAACTTTCCTTTGAAACCTTCAACTTGCTCTGCCATGGAAGGAAGGGCCATCTCAGGGCCTTTTTCTGAGACCTGATATGACAGAAAGTGTCTCTGGGTTTGTGCAGGATTAAGGTACAACTTTGGCTCAAAGCTGAAGCACTAAAGGAATAAGCAATGTAAATTTTTTAATGAGTTGCTCCACTGATAATTTTGTATGCATCAATTGTGCAACTGAATTTGTAACTCAATTAGTATTTAAAGTAATTAAGGATGAAAGGCTGTCAAAAAAAAAAGCTTAAAAGGCGGCTGTTGTAATTTACTGAAGTGGCTGATACTCCATCACTTCAAAAAAGGAGAATTAGTTATGTAGCAAAGAAGAAAATACATTGTTTCTATTACAAAACCATCCACTAAAAATTAAATGAAAAATGCATGAACTTCTAACAGGCGAAAAAAACCCAGAAAAGACCTCATAAGTATTTTCATTTCCCAGGTTCGCAGGCAATGAGCAACCACATTAACAGTGGACTTTATGCCAAGCAAACAGACCTCCAGGTTTGACTGATTAATTTTAATATACTTATATCACCACCACTTATTCCAGATCATGTGCATTACTGCCCTTTCACAGCACATGCCAAGCTCACCTGCTCATTTTGGTAGGACATGTGGGAAACCACTGGAATCAGACCAGTTACTGCCTTCAAACACTCACAGTCCAAATTCATTGACAACCAAATGCAAGTAAGGAATTTTAAAATTTTTTTCTAGTTCTTTTTCAGATTTTATATTATCTCATACAAATCAGTAAAGATGATTTTTCTAACACAAAATTGCAACAGAAACATTTAATTAATTACTCACCACTGTTAATTGCTGACATTCTTTTGAAAAAAAAAAAAAAAAAAATTGAGTAGAGATTTCATTTTACATCTGGAGCTGTCCAGCACAGCTTTTTTGAGGTTTTGTGCATTTGTTTATTGTGTATGGCATGAACATTTCATTTAACAGAACCAGTTTTCTTTTCAATAAGTGGAAAAATCAATGCATTACCTACATCAGTGAACCTGCACCTGGTGAGGGGAAAGTCTGTATAAAAATAGCAGGTACTGTCTAGCAGGTGTAAAAACATTTCTGAGTCACCTCTTTTTTTGGTGTATGGATGAGAGAGGTTCTTCCCCCAGTTTTACTGATACTCTCAGTTCTTTCAAGTACCTTATTTCCAATGGCCTTTTTTGGTGGAAAGTTAAAAGTCCTCACTTGCTGGTATTTGCTCTGTAATTTGTGATGCAAGCTTCTGAACTCTGCATATCTTCGATAAACATTCCATTCATCATCCTTTATCCTGATATAAACCTGCAAAACACAGACATGGAAGGAAATGAATGCAAAGACAAACCCTGAGATGATGTTTCTCTTCACTCCTCAAAGCCTCCAGGATCTCGGAGCCACAGGAACAGCTCTGACTGTGCCCTGGCTGTTCCTGTTGCACAGGTCATTACCCTTGTTCTCTTTTTCCTTTTCTTATTCTTTCTTTCTCTTCTTTTAATCAAGACAAACACAGCTTGCTCATTTGAACATGACTCTGGGGCAGCCATGGCAGCACTTTTGGTTACCATGGTTTCCAGTGTATTCTACTGCCCAGTGACCAAAGGAAAGAAAAAATAATTTAATACCGACTCTAAAATTGATTTCTATGTCCTCAACACAGTTTTTCAACTTTGGAAATTAGCTTTGTAGCATCAGAATTGCAAAACATAATTTTATCCCAAGTATGAAACTTAATTTACTTCCTAACAAAATTATACTGAAAACTAAACTAGAAATTTTATTGTTTGGAAAATAAACACAGTTCATTCTTCGAGTTTGTATAGGACATTAAGTATAATTTAACACAGCTGTAGTTTTTGTGATTCTGCTTTTGTTTGCCACTCATTATTTCATGAGCATATTACCAATTACATGCTAAATATTCACATTCTCTGGGAAAATTTCATGGAGAAGTGAAGTATTCTTCCAGAAAACTGAGTTTTCACTCTTTTCTAGGGGAATAACCTGCAGTTTAAAAGAATGCTGAAACAGCAGACCAGAAACTCTAAACCCAGCATCAGAACTCCAGATCCAGAGTGAGCTTTTGCTGAGCTGCTTTACAGAATCTGTAGCTCATTCATCCTCGGGGGTGTGTCGATAATCTGAGCATTCTGCACCAGGACTGAAGCTGAGATGGTACTGATGGCCCTGCACTGCTCTGCTGCTCCACAGAACCCCAGTAAGTTATTAGCTGTAAGACAGGTACCAGGAGAACCCTTACATGAAAAAGCAGCACTGAGGAGTGGGCAGTAACAAATGTATTTTTGTGAATACTCAGAGAAAATGAAGTTGGGGTTTTGATGTGGCCCATTTCAACTGTGAATTGCAGCTTTTCCTGGAGATTGAAACATTAACATGCTCCTTCTCCTCTACATTCCACAAGACCTTAGGAAAAAAAATGACATTTTCCTAAGGGCTTGTGGGATTTCAGAGATCAAGGGATGTCAAGGGAATTTCTCCTCCCACAAAAGCAGCCCATGCAGCCTTCCTTCGGTTTGGTCTTTATCAAGTCTTAGTTTTTCAAATTTATAGGAGGCTCCTCCTGTCCTTGCAACAAAATCCAATACACCATGCAGACACCACTCTGCCAAACTAGACTATTTCAGTGTAGAAAATGTTAATACATTTTCTACAGGAGTATTACAATTCCAAAAAAGGAATACTATAATTCCATAATTGGCACATCTCAGAATTCAAAAGCTTCAGAGCATTGTGTGAGTTACAAATGCAGATGTAAACAAAAATTCAACTAGTTTTGGTGACAAGAATTCAGATAGTGTAATGATGAAACCACAATAGTAAGTCTGCAAGAAGTATTCAGATTTCTTTTTCACTTTGAAAATAAAGCCAGGATAATTAAACTCCTACAGGACCATCTGTTTGAACAATTAAGTACATCTTTCAAGGCAAATGAAGGGATATATGAGATGGAAGTATTTTGCATAATTCTAATAAAATTTATTTAATGTAGTAAAAACTATATTAAAATCTTTATTCATCCAGATCTAACCCTTCTCCCTGCCTGTTCTCACTTCCACCAGTACATTGTTTGGAATTTTGTATATGTTCCCAAGATTCATGATTCAATTTCCCTACAGGGGGCGGGGATGATAAAAAAAAAAACAAACCTTCAATTATTTTTAACTAAGTCATTTAATATGGAAATCTTAATTTAACTAAGCAGTTACCTTGGCACATGTGATTTGGTGAATCATGCAGTTCAACATTACCTGTTCAGCTGTAACCCATAGTTAACTAATTAAGGAATCCTGTACACTGTAATTGAAATTTTTAAGGACTGCAAAACCACAGATTAATTTCTGAGATAAAACCACTAGAAAATTTCTTACTGTTCTTCTGTGTACGTAGATATTGATTTCATTTAGAGAGTAAGAAATGAAAATGCAACATTTGGAGCCCTGTGCCATATTGAATTTATTGACAATCATATAACAGAGTATGAAAGGTATATTAAAGTCCATGATGCAGCACAGATTTAAACCTGTATTATCTCAGAAGGGAAAACTATTCCCTTGCCAAGGTATTGCAAGACAATACAAATTCAGTTGGGAAATCAAACATAGTAAATCCTAAATACAAAATTATTTGGATAAACTTATCCTGCTGTAGTTATTTAAGGTATATCCCCTTTTACCTCAAATACAGATCAGACCAGCACAGGAAGAGCAGGGAAGGATTATTTTTGCAGACAAAATTTTGAAATAAAACTAAACCAAGTAACTTCAAAAGTCATTAGGACTTTTCCCATCATCTTCAAGGTATCCACAATTTCCTTCACGGTGTTTTGACAGGAAATGAGTGAAATCTGTAGTTGCCAACAGACACTTTCGTGTCTGTTTGTCCCAAATTATCACTCTGCACCCCAGAGCAGCACCACCTTTTGCTACAGCAAATACCTTTGCATGTGACACATAAGTACAGAACAGTATTTTAAGATCATGTTATAGAAAGTTTAAAGGACTACTCTTAGTCTTTATTCTCCAATCAATTAAAGAAAAATCAATTCTAAATCATTACAATTCTTTTCTCATGCCTGTGTTTTCCCAATATCATCCACTTCCTAAACTAGTTAAGTAACTTTGAAGGTAATGAAAACTTACAGACTCAGTCTAAATCACTGCTAGAATGCTTATTTGTTTGTAGACAAAAGATTTTACTTTAATATTCTCTTGAATATCAAAAAATTAGTTAAGTAGCTTCTGCTTGTAATTTAGGAGCACTTTCCATTTAGGTCTCCCATGTAAAGATTGATTGGTAACCCTTCTGTAGCTATGATTTACAGCAGCTCCAAGAAAAATTACAGTTAATAAGTATGTTTAATGAATTAGTCTGTTATTTTCTCATCACAAACACATCTGAAGTCAAAGATTTGGAGAGCAATAGCAACAACAGGAGCAATTTAATATTGTGTTTATCAGCCAACAACCTCCTAACTTAATATTACTGAAATGCCAAAAATCTTCTGAGAATCAATTTGAAAGCACTGGCTTAATGATTGCATACTGAAATGAAAAATTCTACTCCCTTGGACCTGCCAGAAGATTCTTTAAAACTTTTTCTTTAAAAAAAAAACTCTTAAGCAGTTCTGAGCCCCAAAGACTGTTACAAAGCCCTGGTAACACCCCAGTAACAGCTGACACAATTCCTTGCTACTTATGCATGAAAGCCTGAGGAAAATGAAGGACAAATGCCCAAATTCCAACTTGCTCCATTTCCAGTGAACACAGACCAAATGCCTCCAACCAACACTCACTCTTCAGCTCTGGAGGAGTCCAGTGTGGGTGCTGTGCTTTTTGATGCAAAAATACAGGTTGGTATATTGAGGATTCACTTTTGTGTCCCTCTCAATACAAGGGGTAGCAAGAGACACTGCCTGGGGTGTTACAGAACCTTCTTCTGTTGCAAGGACACTCATGGTTATGGAAATTGCAGATTAAGCATCAAGAAGGAGCTCCCCTAAATGAAGTTACTCCTGAGTCTTCCCCACAAATATGGGCCACAGTTCCTGGTAGGATGATCTGAATACACAAAGAAAAAGGAATTGTATCCAGAGAGCTCTTGATGTGAGCTCCACAAATACAAAAATGCTGAATTTAAGTCCTTGTGGCCCATTCCTGAGGCAAGAAAAATGTCAGAAAGGGAGGGAATAATGCTAAAGGAAGGTGAGTAGTGAAACTCCCTCCACTAAACCACATATAAAATTCAGTGGCACAAGATGCAGGAGAACTCGAGACATTTCAGCAGCTGAACACTTCAAAGGACAGAAAGAACACTGAGAATGTTTGTAAAGAACAAGTCCTAGGCTGGACAAGGTCACAGCTTTCTTAGAAGCATGGAAAGAAAATGCTGGGCAGTTTAAGGAATGCCAAAGAGACTGATCTACACTAAGGACTCCTGTGACCTTTACCACCTCATAAGCATTACCAAGGGATAAAAAAAGGGTGAGAGAAAAGCTGCTCTTTCTATATTACTGGATTTCTAACTTCCTTTCCCTTACTAATAAAAGGGAGTTTTCTGGAGGTCCTCTTGTTTGTTACCCAGTTTCAAATCAATGCCCAAGCAGGTGACAACAAAAAGAAAAATTAACAACAGGTTGGGTAGAGACAACCCAATCAGCAGGAATACAAAATCATTACCTGCACATCGGCACCATTATTTTTCACTGTTAACTCAGCTAAGCTTGAGTAGTGAATGTTTTCTTTACATTTGCTTTTAAATAACACTCTAAAATTTGGAGTACCATTGATCCATTGTTTTACCTTTAGACCAGTAAAGGTTTTTTTTAACTCTTAAAACTCTGGCTCAATTTTAATGTATATCTTAATTACTCAGGAACGCTAAATTAAAGAGATTTTGATCAAAGTTCAATATTTAAGAAATAATTGTTTCCAGTGGATTGGAACTATCCTCTTTTTCCTCTCAGGAAAACATATTATCAAATAGGAGTGACATATTTCAATCTATTCAGGAGGTTTCTATCAAAATTATATGTATCTGCACTCAAAACATAGAGAAGAAGTAAAAGGTATGAATCCAAAGGGGAAGTATATAGCAAAAAAAGGAAGAACTGATTTCATTTCTTGACTTTACTTCAGGAGAATGGGATTCTGTTTAGAATATAAATTCAAGCTCAATTCTTCAAAGTTACCTCTGAAGTGTGAGAAGTGAATACAAATGCAAGTTATATTTTGACACAGCTGCAGGACTGTATTTATGGTTAAGTTCCCCCTTTGAAAATGATCCAA